GGGGGGGGGTCCTTTTTATAGTTATACCATACAGGAGCCCAGTTACTAAGGCCTCTGTATTGGTCTGAGAAACACAACTTGCCCTGAGCTCAGCAATCGGTGCTAGCCGGGACAAGACGCATTGATACGAAACCCTATGTGGTAGATGACGTGTAAACCCGTTGAGGCTTCATTTCCTCTTTCAGGTATTGCACCCTACCCTAAACCCTAAACCNNCCCTTAGCCCTAAACCCTGAAACTCGGGATTCCACAGAATGCTGGCTTTTAGAAGATGCTGGCTTTTAGATGTCCAGACACTGCTGGACCCCTGGATCCCTGAATTGAGGAATGTCAGTTTGCTGGGGGTTTAGGGTTTACGGGTTTANNNNGTTCAGGGTTTAGGGTTTGAGGCTCTGAGTGCAGCTGATGTTGTGCTGGCCCATCGGATTGTAGACGATTCATTTCGTGGTCCCAAACCCTAAACCCATGCGGTTTGAAAGGTGACGGGGTTTAGAGTGGAATGACGTAGTCATGCGTGGCAAGACGAGAGGGTCTGCGCATTGCTACGGTTTAGGGTTTCCGTGCAAGCCCATGGTGGCGGTGCTTGACGACATCTTGCTCCCCATCAGCATCACCATCAGCAGCAGCATCCCCAACAACATACAGCCCGAAGCCCGCAAACCCTAAACCCCTGAACCCGTAAACCCGAAAAGCCCAATCAGAACCTACTTACTACGTCCCTGTATCCTCCGAAGTACACTCTCTAAACCCTGAACGCCTGAAACCCTAAACCCTAAATCCTAAACCCTGAATGCCTGCCTACCGAGTCGCTTGAGCCTCTGAGCCCGAAACTCTACCCCCCTTTGACCCGAAACTCTACTCCCCTTTAGTCGAAGGAAACTACAGGTGGTGAGTTTAGGGTATATAGGGCTTCTATAAGGCTTCTATGAGGTATATAGCCCTTCTATAAGGCTCCTATAGCGGTAACTACCCACCTGAAAATGTCCTAGACTCTACTCCCCTCTAGAAGGAAAAGATATGTGTTGCAGGTCCCGCTATACCTCCCCCACGCGGGGTTATCCTGACTACAACCTTACGTGAAGGTTACTAAGTCCCCCAAGCCCGTGGGTAAATCCCGAGCCCTGAAAATCCTATAACCCTCAACCCTAAATCCCATAACGCTAACCTCAAATCCCATCACCCCAAACCCTAGATCCTAAATCCCCTTACCCTGAAACCTAAATCCCATAACCCTAAACCCTGAATCCCATAACCCCTAAAGCCTAAATCCCACACGCTAACCCCTAAACCCTAAACCCTAAACCCTAAACCCTAAACCCTAAACCCTCTGCCTTTTGTTTGTGACAGCGCCGGACGTTGTCGACGTTCTGCACCGCGAGACCTTCCGCTATCATTTTCGGGTTCCCTTAGGGCTCCTAGGGTTTAGGGTTTAGGGTTTACTACATAGGGTGTAGGGTTTGGGGTTTAGGGTTTACTAAATAGGGTTTAGGGATGTTTAGGGTTTAGGGTTTAGGGTTCAGGGTTTAGTAAATAGGGTTTAGGTTTAGGGTTTAGGCTTTAAGGCTCGAGGGTTTCGGGGTCAAGGTTTAAAAGGTTTGAGGTTTAGGGTTCTAGAAGGGCTCTACCGAAGTCTTCCTGGCGATTCTATGTTCCAAACAAAGGGGTCCGAAAAGTGTTTGGAAACGGCTTAGGGTTTAGGGTTTTCGGGTTTAGTAAGGCCTAAACCCCTAGCCCTGAACCCCCAAGCCCTAACCCGAAGGGCCAACAACCTACGATTACTTCCGATCATGTAAACAAGCCTTACCCCAGAACCTTAAAGACAGCCTAAAACCTTTACGTTAAGACCAAACCCCAAAGTCCTGAGAACTGAACAAACTACACCCTGTAGCTCACAAGGCCCCAATCAAACCGATTCGGAGCATCCTGAAAATCTAGAGCTATCTATCTTTGGCAACCCTGCAAGAGCTGAAGGTGCCCTACACCCTGAACCCTAAACCCTTTAGGGTTGAGGGTTTAGGGTTTAGGGGTTAGGGATTTTTCAGAAGATCAGGATTCAGTCTTTCGTCAACACTAGGTGTCGATGTTAACAGTCCCCGAAATTACTCACAATAGGGCTCCTGTATTAAATAGCAAAGGAAACTACCAACTATCTCAAAGCGGGGCGTTTCGTGAGAACCCATACATCCCCCCCCTTAACCCCTAAACCCTAAACCCCTAAACCCTAAATCCTAAACCCTAAACCTCCCGAACCTTAGCCCGAAATGCGGTTTATGGTTTAGGGCGGTGCAAACACCCATTCCTCGGCCAGGGGGCTTTGCAGCGCAGATGTGCCGAAAGCTTGAACATTCGCTGCCTTTGGGTTCGCCCGCATTGCCTGCTGCATGCACAGCTGGGCTGAGGCTTTGGATGTATATAGGGCACCAGAAGCTCATGGACGAAAAGAACCTTAAAAGTAGGGGCCTTATTCCCTTATATATGAATCCCTATATGATATATGAACCCTAAACCCTTTTAGCGCTCTTTTCGTCCTTAAGGAAGCACCTGTAAAGAGAAGGATCGCGGGTATTAGCAGGATCCCTCTAAAACCGCAAAGCCTAAACCCCTCTGAACCGCTGAATAAACCCTAAACCCTAATCCCTAAGCCCTAAACCCTAAGCCCTAAACCCGCAAAACCCAACCATATTAAAGCCCGCACCCCCAAGCCCTGATTGGATCCCAAAGCTCGACCTGGAAATCGGAGTGTACCCGTTTCAGCGGCAGGGGCCTTGGGTAGTCTAGGGCTCCAGGGTGTAGGGTTTTTAAAGTCTTGGGGTCTTAGATATCTTTCTTGAGGTTTTTAGGGTGAAAAGCTTTCCAGGGTTTCTGAAGGGTATTCATGAGGGTGCTCCGGGCTGCTTAAAAAACCAAAACCAACTCTGAAAACCTAAACCCATAACCCCATAACCCTAAAACCAAAAAACAACAAACCCCTAAACCAACAACTCCTGAACCCTACTATATCCTAAACCCTGCACCTCCAAAATGACGCTTGTTTAAATTTTAGAACTGCCCATAAAGAACCCTAGTAGTACCCTTATGGAAACCGCTATAATAACCCCTATAGATCCCTTTAAGGAACCCGTGGGAGGGTTACGGCCACGGGATGGCCTCAATGATGGCTTCGACGCCGCCCATCTCACCGATCCTTCGGTTCGAAGCTTAGTAGCTGTTCTTGGGGTTTAGGGTTCAGGGTTTAGGGTTTAGGGGTTAAGGTTAGCCTTTTTTGCGGTGGGAGACTAAACATTGAGCCCTAAGCTCTACAATCTTAAACCCTAAACCCTAAACATTTAAGCCCTAAGCTCAAGACTCTAGACCCTAAACCCTTATCGTGAAGCCCTGAGCTCTAAACCTTAATAAACCCTCTTTCCGTACGACTCCTGCCTTTTATATAGGGGCCTTAATCATTAGAATAGGGCTTTGGGGTGTATTATACTATAACTAGAATAAGGAACTAAACCCTACACCCTAAACTCCTAAACCCCTAAACCCTATACCCCTAAACCCTATTACGGCCCCGATAGTAACCCTCGACCCGAGAGCTCCGTGACACTAAACCCTCATCTGCCGAACCCCGGAACCCGAAACCGCTTCCTTAAGGACGAAAAGAGCCCTGAAAGGGCTTAAGGTTCATATACCTTGTAGGGATTCATAGCATCAGGGTATAGGGCCCCTACTTTTAAGGTTCTTTTCGTCCTTACGGTTCTGCCGTGCATAAAGACTTGAGAACCTTCAGGGTTTAGGGAAGTTTAGGGAAGTTTAGGGCTTTAGGGCTTTAGGGGTTTTGGGGTTTAGGGGTTTTGGGTTTAGTGATTTAGGATTTAGTGTTTAAGGTTTACGGTTTAGCGTTTTGGGTTTTGGGTTTAGACTTGGCGCACGATCTGCAGGGCAGCATCGAAAAGTCGTCGGCCAAGGGGTCGGCCGAGGATTCCCCGCACAGTGACAAAGGGAAAGTAGAAAAACATGTATCAGAAGCAGAAGGCCGATCTCCCTTGGGTTTAGGGTTTAGGGTTTAGGGGTTTAGGGTCTAGGATTGATGGTTTAGGGTTTGGGGTCTAGGATTCAGGGTTTGGGGCGCAGAAGCCTCTAAGGCTGCATGTCTACACCAAAACGCTAAGCTCAACATATCCTGAGCTCTGCACGCAGGCCTTCCTGTCCTCTTATACGTCCCGCATAGGGCTTAAGGTTCAGAGTCTTTTTGGATAACCTTTTTTCGGTTAGGACCCTGTAAGAAGAAAACTAAGGGCAACGAAAAAGTACTACAATCCACGGTTTAAGTCTACGTTGATGGACCCTACACCCTAAACCCTAAACCCTAAACCCTAACCCTATACGCTAAACTCTAAACCCTAAACCTGAAACCGGACACAACCTCCAAGGTCCAAGATGCTGCCCCAGAAACGAACTCAAAGGTTTAGGGTTTAGGGTCGTAAACCCTAAACCCTAAACCCTCAACTTCATAAACCCTAAACCCTAAACTCTAAACTCTAAACCCTAAACCCTAAACCCTGAACCCTAAACCCTAAACCCTAAACTCTAAACTCTAAACCCTAAACCCTAGACCCAAGCAAACAGTGGAGGCTCTGGGGCTTCTTTGACAGCACTTTAAGTTAGGGTTTAGGGTCGTAAAAGTGAAACTGTGGGGCTCCTGTTGAAAGCACTTTAAGGGTTTAGGGTTTAGAGTTCAGGGTTTAGGGTTCAGGGTTTAGGGTTTAGGGCTTAGGGTTCAGGGTTTAGGGTTTAGGGTTTAGGGTTTAGGGCTCCTTTTGAAAGCAGTTTGAGCGCGAAACACCCCACAGTCAGCCTTAAACACCCAAGGCCCTAATTCCCAAATCTTAAACCCATGTCCAACAACTCTTAACGGTCGAGGGTTAAGGGCTCAGGGTTTCGGGATTTTGGGGTTTAGGGTTCAGGGGTTAGGGCTTATGTTCAGGGTTGAGGGTTTAGGGTGTTTAGGGGTTTAGGGTTCAGGGTTTAGGGTTTATAAAGGTAAAAGTGTACCAAATCCCAAATGAACCTAACATCCCAGACGAAGATCTTCCCTGCCTCACGCGCATCTCTGGGTTGTCGCATGCGACACCTCAAAGTTCTACGAGACTCGAGGTGAGCTTCAATTTTGTAGGGTATGTTTTATTTGGAGGGTCGGAGGACTTAGTAAGTAGCTATTCTATAGACTTATAAGTATCATAACCCCAACTCTACTTAATATCTACTTACTAAGTCTCCCGACCCCCAAGTAGGGTTTAGGGCTGGATTGAGGGTGTCCGCTTGAAGGTTCCTTTCAGTGATCCAGGAGGTACTAGGGAAGAAGGATTTTTATAGCTTAGACACCGAAACCCTAAACCCAAAGCCTTAAACTGAATGCTACACCCTAAACCTTGGGAGTTAGGATTAGGGGGTGACCTTTGGGGCGTTTAAGAGAGCCATAAGTAGGGTTAAGAAGGGTCTTTTAAAGGGGTCTCCCTAATACTACCTAGGAAACATTATTACACCCTAAACCCTGAACCCCACCCTAAACACTAAGCCCTAAGCTCTAAACCTTAAACCTAAACCCCACCTTGGACATTACGCCCTAAACTCCAAACACTAAACCCTGAACACTAAGCCCTAAGCTCTACACCTTAATAAAGCCTTTCCGTACTTGGGGGTGAGGGTCTTCAGTCGGCCATGGTTTAGGGCTTAGGGGCTTTAGGGCTCTAGGATTTAAGGCTTTAGGATTTAATCTAAGTCTGAATTTAGGGTGTAGCCTAGGCTTCTTACTTCCCCAATAAGCCAGGGAAATAAAAGGTTAGACTTTCAGAATACTACAAAATCATAAGAATCCCACAAGTTTAAATGTTGGGTATTGGGGACCTAAGGTATTGTAGGCCTTAGGGTTTTGGTCTATGTCCCCGATGATCGCCAAGCCCAGCCCTGGCGCAAAAACTTTCCGGAACCGCGGCTTAGGGTTTAGGGTTTAGCCGTTTAGGGTTTAGGGTTTAGGGTTTAGGGTTTAGCCGTTTAGGGTTTAGGGTTTAGGGCTTAGCTGTTTAGGGTTTAGGGTTTAGCCGTCTAGGCTTTAGGGTTTAACCGTTTAGGGTTTAGGGTTTAGCCGTTGAGGGTTTAGGGTTTAGCCGTTTAGGGTTTAGGGTTTAGCCGTTTAGGGTTTAGGGTTAGGGTTTAGCTGTCTAGGGTTTAGGGTTAGGGTTTAGGGTTTAGGGTCGTTGGGTTTTGGAGCAACGTGCAGACCACCACGCTCCAACTCATGCTCAACTTGCACAGCATGCAAGAGCATTTGCTTCCTCATGCCCCTCATCAAACTGCACCACAGAACCGCCAATGTAAGTTCCCCCACAGCACCATCTGGAGTGACAGAATTCGTGGCTGCTACAACGAAGTTATCCGTGTCGCCTCGTTTTTCAGCCATAACAACTGTCTCTCCGCGCCTAACAACTTTTCTGGAAATGCAAAGCTGCGCAAACCGCAAGTTCGCCGTCTCACGAGATGCTATCGTGCGACACAAGATTGTGCAGCTTTCATTGTTGTCAACACAATAAAGAGCCATCTTTGTTGTCTTGCCTGACCCAGTCCTGTGGGGAAGTGGAAGATCGAAAGCCAACAACTGTTCATTGATTGCCGAGATAATGTGACTTATCGAATCCTTGTTTGAGCACCTTCATAGAATACGAATGTTCACCTCCCCAGATTGGGGAAGAGTAAATGGCAACGTCGTTGCCCGCAGGATCAGCAGGACCATTGCTCGATGCGTAAAACCCTGACAGCCACTCAAGCAGCCGACCATAACAATAGACATCCGCATGCGCCCGAGCCCCAGACCGTGAACCTTATGGGTAAACCCACCGTCATCCGTATAAACCTTGAATCACACATAAACCCAAACCCTAAACAACCCTAAACCCTAAACCCTAACCCTAAACCCGAAATCCCCAGCCCCTCTTCAGGGTTTAGGGTTGAGGGGGCGCCTCTTACAATCCCCGCAAGCTCACACCCGCGCAAATACCCTGGCCCTGAACTCGAATGTAGGGGCCTTAACAATTAGAGCAGGGTTTTGGGGTCTATAACTAACTACAATAAGGAACCCCCAAACTAGTTTTTTTAGTAGGGTTTTGGGGTCTATACTTAAATACAATACGGAACCCCCTAAAATAGTATAGGCGATTATTCAAACCCCTACATTACACCTTAACCTGAGCGACTTATGAGCCCGTCGTGGTCCCTTTATTTTGAAGCTTGAGAATGCCCCAATCAAACAACAAAAACCCTAAGCAAACCCTAAGCAAAACCTAAACCCTTGAAGGTTTAGGGTTTAGGGTTTAGGCTAAGCAAAACCTAAACCCCAAACCATAAGCAAAACCTAAACCCTGAATCCCTGGCCGTCCGAAGTGGCTGAGGCGAAGACTCTGTAACAAAGCGCAGGCGAAGGCCTGTTCTTTGTTCGAGTGAATGGGAGGGGGTCTAGTAGGGTGTGGCTTTAGAGGTTCAGGGTTAGGGCTTAGGGTTCAGGGTTTGAGGGTTTAGGGCTTTAGGGGCTTTAGGGGCTTTAGGGTTTGGGTGGGTGGGGGGCGGGTGGACGGAGCGGGCTACCATTGTTTTAAACATCCACAGGTCCTTTCCCAGGAAGCCGATGAAGGTTTCTGAGCTCGTGGCTGAGGGATTTAGGGCCAGGGTTTAGGGTTTAGGGTTTAGGCCTACTTGGAGGGTCGGGGGACTTAGTAACTAGTTATTTCATGGACTTATAAGTATCATAACCCCAATCAGGATCCATTTTAGGGTACTTTTAACGCTACTTAACATCCACTTACTAAGTCCCCCGACCTTCCAAGTAGGGTTCAGGGTTTAGGATTGTTAATTGGCCTATGGGGATTCACAGCGCATGTTTGGTGGTATTCAGGCTTCATAGGGAGCTAGAGGCCTGTGGTTTAGGGGACTACTCCGATCTCTGAACTTTTTAGGGTTTAGGGTTTAGGGTCGGGGGACTTAGTAAGTGGCTATCTTAAAGACTTATAAACCCTAAACCCTAAGCCCTTTTTAAGTATCATAACCCCAAATAGTGTCCCTTTGAGGCCACTTAGAACTCTAGTCAATCTTACTTCCCCGAAAAACCAGGGAAATAAAAGGTTAAGTATAAGAACCCAACAAGTTTGAAGGTCGGGTATTGGGGAACTCAGCAATATCTACTTACTAAGTCCTCGACGCTCCAAGTACAGGTTCCTAACATGAGCACACTCATCCTCATCCCTTGTGGTTTAGGGTTTAGGGTTTTAGGGTTTAGGTGTTTAGGGCTTAGGGGTTTAGGCTTAGGGGTTAACTTAAATCCTAAGCCCATATGACGCGCTGGCTGTGGCGAGGTTACAGGATTTTGGGCCATCTCGCAACACACCCCCTGAGGTAGATGTCATCATCCTGGTCAGGTCCACCGAGCAATTTAGGGTTCAGGGATTGGGGTTTTAGGTTCATGGTTCAATCTGACAGCCGGGCGGTAGTATGATGCATGGATTGGGGTTTAGGGGTTTTAGGGTTTACGGGCTATAGGTTGAGGGTTTACAAGTACCAGCCTCTAAACTTGTAACGTTACTTGCATACTCGAATGCTAAGAAGCAGACCTGTACGCGGGTGTTCTCCTTGTGCAGAGAGATCATCTCAATCGCATGCCTTCGGCGTCAGGATTTGTGATTTGTAGGCTCCGACGCACGTTGCAAAAAGAGGGGGACTCAATAATTGGAACAGGGCTTTAGGGCATCTTACAGTAATGCGGTTATGTGGAGGCTTGATCAGGCAATGGTCTTACTAACTACGTAATATTTCATGATAATGTCGCGGGTTTAGCATGCTTCATCGCTACTCGACCTACACACTTGGTCTGCAAACAACAGCGACCTTCGTGCCCCGCTTGTCAGAGGCCAAAGCTGCAGACCCTATTGTGAGAAGGAACTCGCGAGAATGGCTTTTTGCCAACTTCCGAGACTCCTCCATAGACACATCTACTTACTTCCCCGATAAGCCGGGGAGATAAAATGTTGAACTTTCAGCTTATTACTAAAATATAAGAGCCCGAAAAAGTCTTGGGGAACTAACCCTTAACCCTAGACCCTAAACCCCTAAACCCTAAACCCTAAACTCCTAAGCCCTAAATAGTAGATACGTCTATCTTGGAAGGGGTTTTCAGCCCTGACCTGTTCGTTGTTCCAAACTCTCTGAGCATGTCCCAAATCGCGCGGTTTAGGCTTGTAGGGTTTAGCGAGCTTTTCACTGTAAACCGCCTTTTCGAATGGGAACTCGTCGTTGTATTTCTTGTCCAGAGTTTCCAGTTCCTGACCCAAACCTTAAACCCTAAACCCTAAACCCTCATGCTTCTTGCAATCTATTGTTAGTTCTGTTTACTGCTTCAGCACATCCTCAGAGCCTCAAGCAGCAACTGCAGCTTATGGGTATAGTCTGTCCAGAGGAACCCTAAACCCCTACGCCCTAATCAATCCTACTTGGAGGGTCGGGGGACTTAGTAAGTAGGTAATAAGTAGAGTTATAAGTACCCTAAAAGGGATCCTAATTGGGGTTATGGTACTTATAAGTCTGTAAAATAACTAGTTACTAAGTCCCTCGACCC